AGTGATCCGGAAGCTCACCACGCTACAGTGGCAGGCCAGTGAGACCTCATCCCCCAACCCTAGGATCACAGGCGTGCGCTGCAGCACCCAGCTTTTTTTGTTTTGTTTTGCTTTATTTTTTGTTTGTTTGTTTGTTTTTGAGATGTGGCCTCCCTACATACTTCTGGCTATCCTGGCACTCACTCTGAAGACCAGGCTGGCCTGGAAATCAGAGATCTGCCTGCCTCTGCTTCCTGAGTGCTGGTATTAAAGGCTTGCGCTACCACCGCCCAGCAACAGCCAGCTTTTTTATGAACTCAGGTCCTCATGCCTGCACAAGCACTTGAACCACCCAGCCATCTCTCCAGCCTGATGTCTCAGGCCCTCATGCCTGCACAAGCACTTGAACCACCCAGCCATCTCTCCAGCCTGATGTCTCAGGCCCTCATGCCTGCACAAGCACTTGAACCACCCAGCCATCTCTCCAGCCTGATGTCCCTTTGCTTCATGATACATCCACTCCCTCCAACAAGTCTGTGCTCAAAATAGCCAAGAGCCTCCGGACATGTGTACCTGGCTACTGTGCCATGAATCACCACCCTTCATGTGAGAGCCTCTCGGAGCAAATTGGAGTAAAATCGTCAGTAACTTCCCTCTAGCTTGGAGACTTCCTGGATCTTATTTTGTGTCTTTGGCACCCATGTGGACTCATACTGAGGTGACCTTTTCCACAAGCTATGGCACACGACTGGGTCACAGGTCAGTTAGGATTTCCTAGCTTCCCCTCCAAGCTCTGCACACTGGCGGCTTGTACATTTGAACTTAATCTGTGAGCCTCCACATTCCTCCTGTACCCTCCCCTCTTGATTCTCCTCATTTTAAAGTCAAGTCCTAGCTCTACGTTCCACAGGACCCAGGTCTCTGCAGGTCTTTGTATCCATGAGGTCTTATTACCTCATACGGCAGACTATCCTTCCTGAAAGCTGATCTGGCTTGGTGTGTGTGGTCACCCCATGTGGGCCAGGCAAGCCCTCCCTCCAGCACTGCGATACATCCCTGGCCTCTTTCTTACTTTTTATTTTATTGTTTTGAGGCAGGGTCTCACTAAGCTATAAAGGCTACCTTTGAACTCATTCTGGTAGGGCTTGAACGTTCGATTCTCCTGCCTCAGCCTCTGAGTGGCTGAGATTACAGGCCTGTGCTGCTGGACCATGTCACAGTACTCTTGAATGCTTGTCTCATCTCTCTCCAAGAGCTTAGGTAGCACTCAGCTCAGGCAGCTGAGCCTCTGTTCCAAGAGGGTGGGGCTTCCAGGTCCTGCCCTTCTGCCATGAGCTAGCCAGTCTGGCATGTCCCTGTTCCGGAACTGGAGATGTGGCCACAGCTGTGTTGGACTAAGTGAGCATCAGCTAAAGGATTACAGGCAACAAGAAAGCTTTCTGATTCTAGTTTGGTTGGAAGGAGAATTTGGATCCCCAAAGTGGGGTTACCCAGCTAGGCATTCTCACCATCGCACACACTGTGATCACACGTCAGACTGCTACACATCCAGACACCATCCAGAGGCCACAGGGTACAGTCGGCCAGGCCCAGAAAACCAGCTCATCCCAACTGAGCCTAGAAAGTCTCCCAGCATCAGCCTCTCCTTCTAGGGCAGTCCAGCCCTTTCCTCTCTTCCCCACCCCATCCTGAGGATTGAACGCGGCCTTGAGAAAGCCAGGCAAGTGCTCTACCACTGAGCTCCACCCCAGCCCTCGCCTGGTTTTTCACTCTTCTCTGCCACCCAGGCTGGCCTAGAACTGGGTGACCCTTCCCTGGGTGCATCAAGGAGCCAGGATTTCAGGCTTGTACCACCCAGGTTTCCTGTGGTTCCGCCCTCCCTTTCCTATACAACTGCAACTTCTCATTCTTTTAAAACTTCGAATGCCTCTCAGTAACTCCTGCTACCATTCCTTCCCATGCAAGGAATGCCAGATCAAGCCCCACCAGCCCCACCCTACTCCAGTACTGCCCCTACACCAATGTTAGGGGTTGAACCCGGAACCTTCAGCACACTAGGCAAATGTTCTAGCACTGAGCTCACGCCCAGCACCACAACTTCCAGCCCAGGCTGAGCTTCAACTTGCAGTCGTCCTCTTTACTGACCAGGGTCATCAGGCCCGGCCCTTCCACAGCCTTCTCTCGATGCCATCATCCCCTCACAGTTTTTGAGCCTTTCCTATATAGATATAGCTGTCCAGGAACTCACTACAAGACCCGGCTGGCCTTGAACCCTCAGAGATCCTCCTACCTCTCTCTGCTTCCCAAGTGCTGGGATTACAGGCACATGACACCATACCTGGCACTTTTGAGTCAAAGGTCATTGTAGACAAGGCTGGCCTCCAACTCACTGTGTAGGAAAGTATGGCCCTGAACTGATTTTCTTGCCTCTGCCTCCCTAATGTTTGATTTTAAATCATATGCAAAAGCCTCTTCAGAGCTAGCTTAGGAAGGATATGTAAAACCCCACAATCAGAGCTGCTTAGAGGGAATCACACCTGTAACCCCAGCACTGGGGAGACAAAGGCAGGCAGATCTCTGTGAATTCAATGCCAGCCTGGTCTATGGAGTGAGTTCCAGGACAGCCAGGAACAGAGAAACCCTGTCTCCAAAACCAAACCAACAAGCCCTCTAGCCACACCCATTTCCAATGAATGGATGCAAAGGTGACAGGCTTTGACTAGGTCTAGTAGATCAGAACCATGGCTCCCTGTGTAATACCATGTCTACCCAGTGATACTACAGGCCGGTGGTCACTAATCAATCACTCAGTATGATGGGGTTCCTCTCAGCTGGTTTTGGCATAAATGACTTACATTTTGTGATCAATTTCCATATAATTAATAACATATTCATTGATTTGTAGTATTATTTTTTTTCTTTTTAAGATTTCTTTATTATGTATACACTGTTCTGCCTGCAGGCCAGAAGAGGGCACCAGATCTCATTACAGATGGTTGTGAGCCACCATGTGGGTGCTGGGAATTGAATTAAGGACCTCTGGAAGATCAGGCAGTGCTCTTAACCTCTGAGCCTTCTCTCCAGCCCCGATTTGTATTATTCTTGCATTAAACACAATTTAAATTTGAAAATTAAAAACAAAACAAAAAAACCAGCCAGACTTTGGTGGTGCACGTCTTTAATCCCGGCACTTGGGAGGCAGAAGCAGGTGGATTTCAGGGAGTTGGAGACCAGCCTGGTCTACAGAGCAAGCACCAGGACAGCTATATCTATCCTATATCTATACAGGAAACTCTCAAAAGCTGTGAGGTGATGGCAGTGAAACCCTGTCTCAGAAAAGAAAAAAACAAAAACAACCTGCTGGGTGTGGTGGCTTACACCTGTCATTTTAGCACCCGAGAACCTGAGGCAGATGGATCTTCATAAGTTTGAGGCCACCTGGACTATATAGTGAATTTCAGGCTAGCCTGTGCTACAGACTGAAAATGTTTCTGTGCACACACAAGTATTTTTGAAATTTTATTTTTTTAAGACACAGTCCCGGCCAGGCGTTGGTGGTGCACGCCTTTAATCCCAGCACTTGGGAGGCAGAGGCAGGTGGATCTCTGTGAGTTTGAGGCCAGCCTGGTCTACAGAGCGAGTTCCAGGACAGCCTCCAAAGCCACAGAGAAACCCTGTCTCGAAAAACCAAAAAAAAAAAAAAAAAAAAGACACAGTCCTATGTATTCAGGCTGGCCTCAAACTCACTGTGCAGTCCAGGCTGGCCTTGAACTCCTGATTCTCCTGTATCCATCTCCCAAGTCAAAGATAGCAGGTGTGTACCATCAAGCCCAACTTAATAAAAACATGTTTGAATGCCAATACACTATATAATGAACTAGCTCAAGAATTCACCTGGATACAGGTCCCTACAGTACCTAGATGACCAAGATTTGAAGGTGCCTGAAAATTATCAATAGACACAAAGTCCAGTCTGGAAGAGCTAACAAAAGGCAAAGGTAACACAGAAGAACTCAGTACGTAAAAGCAAAAACCTGAAATAAACTGAAATGTAAATAAATGGACTGGGAATGTAGCTCAGTGGTTGCATGCATGTGCATGTGTGTTTATATACATAAGTAAAATGGTAACTACTTGCAGGGCCAAAAAGTAAATAAGTAAAAGAGAAAACACTAAGAATTCTTGGCCTTTGACACAGTCTTCTCTACTTGGGCAGAAGTATGAAGAGATAGAACCAAGGCAAGTTCAAGATACCCAAAGACATAGAGCAATCTCACTACCCAGCAGATGAGAGAGCTTGGGACCAAATGACTGTGAACAGGGATTGGGAACTAGCATCTCTGATTTCTAGTTACTGACTTCCCGCATTGTCTTACACTGCACTGGAGATCACTCCCCAGAATTAGAAAGCCTGTGTGGTGGTGCATGCCTGTAACAGAACAAAAGGTCTGGGAGGTAGCTCAGCGGTTGAGTGCTTGTCTAGTATGCCCGACACTCGAGCACTGGCTGATCTTCCAGTGGCCCTGTGTTCAATTCCCAGCAATTGCATGGTGGCTCACAACCATCTACAGTGGGATCTGATGCCCTCTTCTGGCATAAAGGTGAAGATGCAGGTAAAGTACTCATATATTTTTAAGGCAAACAAGGGACCTAGAAACAAACATGTATTTGGGAGTCAAGGCCCAAGGCATCCTGTGTTCACTGCCTAAGCTACTGTGTGTGTGTTGATGGAGATGGGTGGCTGTCTGGGTCTCTTGTAGAAGACAAAGGACATCTCCTCGAGTCTGAAAGATCCTATCTTGTTTAAATCAGCCTGAGAGCTCTATGGCCAGATTGTTAATTGTGTCAGATTTATTCATTCATGCACACATTCATTCACTCACCCACACACCTTTTACAGCACCACTGGATGTAAAAAAATATTTGAAGCCTTTATAAGGAATTATATTGACCCAGTGTCTAAGTTCTGAACAACCTCTATAACATATGTAAGAAAAAAAAGCAAGCTTCAGAACATGGTATATAGAATGCTACTGTTTGTATTAAAAATAGATATATAAATATACATATTTATAACTCATAAATGCATAGAATTGCTCTGAAAGGATACACAAGATAGAGATAACAATGAGGAACTCTGGTGAGGGCACCAAAGGCTCGCCTCCATCAGGAAGTTTACTTTTTATTGTATATTCATTGGTATTGCCGAATGCTTTGTTTGTTGTCAAATGTATATGTATCTATCTCTTTTAATTACCTGGTGCTGAATGTACAATGGCAAACAGGACAGAAGTTCCTCCATCTGGGGCAAGGCAAAATGTGGAATTGGGGGGGGAGGGGGGACACAACACAACCATTAAGTTATTAAAACCCAGACTGATTACATAAGAGGCAAATTCTTTACAACAATTAGTCCGTGGTAATCCGGCGTATCATTTTACAAAGACAGAGCAGTTAAGGTATAAATACTAGTCATTTGTCAAGCCTCAGTGTGTTGAGATGGTAGTTTCTAGAGAGCAGAGAACCTGATCTAACTTGACGAGGAGTGTATCCACTGTGGCAGTGAAACACCTGTTACAGCAAGCATCCTCCGATGACAAACCATAATGCATTGAAAAGACATCACAAGCAATCAGGAGATACTGACTCCGAAGGGACTGTGTGTTCCCTCTTCTACAATGCTCCAGAGAAGGGTCTTCAGATAGCGAAGTAAACCCCAGTGAGAAAAACGAGGCAGGGACACCACATGTGCAAATGTGGGGCCCTCCTTGGGGTGACAAGGCACTGGTGGACTCCATGAAGGATCTGATACTATGGGGCACCCTGCCTTTTGGGAAGTAGAAGGGTGGGCTTTGGATGGCTCCGTGCTGCTGACAGGGTGGCAGCAGGCAGAGCAGCCCTGTCACTAAGGTAGCACAGTGGTTGACAGGCTTGACTCAGCACCATCATCACAGGTGGCCCAACAATCTGTCATTCAACCTCTCTAAGGCTGTTTTGTCTCTGTAAAATAGAAAGATAACTGAGATCCTTGTGAGGATTAAATGAACATCTCGGTTAAGAGTTAACAAGATGCTGGCCATGAGCAGGGCTGGAAATGTTATCTTCATCATCACTGAATAATGGATAGGCATGCAGGCCAATTCTTAACTGATACCCCGCATCCAAAGGTGAGCAGCAGATGACATACACTCGTCTCCTGGTCCAGAAGCACAGAATCCCCATATCCACATGGTATTATGGAAACTAAAAGTGCTTGCACACTCATGACCTCATGAAAGCCCAGAAGGAGCCGGATAGGGGTTCCTAGTTCTACTCTGAGGGGGAGGAGCCTGTGAGAGCTGTTAGGAGCTGGTTAAGGGCAGGAAGAACTCAGGCCATGGCTCAGGCTTTCCAGAGCAGTTTCTACGCTCCCACTCCAAGAGGCTGGATCTGGCATGAAGACAGGTGCTCCACCCTTCGTTTCTCCATCTTCTGTCCCATGGTTTCTGAGTGGGAAGAAATGTAGCTACACAGCTCAAAGTCCTCTATTCACCTCCTTAAGAACCCGTTCTCTTGAATGACACTCCCTGCAATGGGGATTAGCGTAAGATGAAAGATTGATAGGTCTGAAGAAAAACTGGGAAAGGGACAGTGGTTGGCTTGGGACTTGCGCAACAGGGCTGGCTTCCCCTCACTGCCAGCCGGGGAAGCAGGGAGGTAGGGGCGTCCCAGGAAGAATGTTCATTCATTCAAATGGTATAGACAGCGGAGCCTCTCTGGATCTGAGGCAAGCGAACTCCCCCACAGCCATTAGCCTTTCACTACAAATTTGGCATTTGAAAGAGCAAGAAAAAAATGTTTTCACAACTGTGAAAAGGCCATGCATACTTATCCAACTTGATTCCTGATAGATACCCATGCCTCCCTTGAAAGATCAAATCTAAGAACTCAGCCAGCACCCCTTCCCTGTGCGGCACGGGACTCTGCTGCTCCTAGTCCCAGCCCATTTGGGTTGGAGAGCACCTTCCCACAACTGTCCCTTGTGCTTGGGCAGCCTCACCTGTCCTCTTACCCTAACTGTCCCACGTCTGGGTTTGCAATGGCACAGGGTTCTGGACTGAAAGCCCTTGAGTGGAAAGATGCCTGGAGAATATCAATGGGCCAGAGTCCTTGGAGGTGGCCCTTGACCAGGACTGACACCCTCCCTCTCCTCTTTAGAAGTCTCAAGAGAACCGAGATGTTCAGGCCTCCTGGTTTCCCAAGCACAAGCTCCAGAACCTAGAGCTCCATGAGCAGCAGAGCCCTGTTTCCCCTCAGATGGGGCCGACAGTCAGGGCACCCTGGTAAGAGCCTCTCACCTGAGGATGAATACAAGAGCCTACCTGCATGGTAAGAAGATTTTCTTTTTTATTGAAATATAGTCTGAGCAACAAGAATGTAGCTGAGAGTAGGAGGGGCTGACCTGCCTGAGGCAGCAGCCTCTCTAATGGCACAGGAGCAAGAATACAAATGTGTAACCCATGCCCCACTGTCAGGGACTGCAGGACAGCAGCAGCAGGACCCACCCACAGCCCCCAAAGAGGGGCTGGCTCTCGGCACCTGCCGGCCTTGGCCATACTTCATGCTTTCCTCAGTTCCAAACAGGAGTGTACTGACATTTCTCCCACCCAGAGAGACATAATCAGCCAGTGTGACACGTGAAGTCCTCAGGATGTTTCTGGGGAAAAGAATGAGAGAAGACAGGAAGGAAAGGGTGAGCAAGGGACCTCACCAAGCCAGGCTGGGCAGAGTTCCAGTGGAACAGCCAGCTTCCATCATCCTCCTCTCTTGGGCTTTGAAGGCATGAAGAAGAGCTGGTATCTGCAGGGAACTAGAGCTCTGAGGAGTTCCCACTGAACACAGCGGGTAGGGAGCCTAGAATGTAGCCACTGAGGGGCTGCAACCTGAGTGACAGCATTAGGGCTACACCACTACCTAAGAAGCCTGGGGCTGGAAGGACACGGATGAGAATGGGGTACCAAGAAGCAGCAAAAGCCATAAATAACAGAAGTAAATTCAGAGCTGTGAGGGATTCTGGGTGACCCACAATGCCTGGGACTGGGAGACATCCAGAGTCTGCAGCTCAGGATAGACACTGCTCCGGAGCACAGTGGTCACACACACGGGCAGAGCTTTTTATTTCACAGCCTGCATAGCAGGTGGAGGATGCCATGGCCTGACTGATGGCTACAAAGCCTCTGGTCACACCTGAGGAGACACTGCATGGCTGTTCTGGTCCTGAGAGGCCTGTGGTGGATTCTGGGGGCCCTGGGTACTGTCTTCCTCCAGGGACAGGCCTAGTGATCTCCTTGGCTCTAGATCAGCCACCAAAGGCTCACGGGCACATTCTTCCAGTCCGTTCTCTCTCGTTTCCATGGCCACCTCCTCTGCAGAGCAAGCCTCTGGCTCCGTGGCTTCCACCTTCACTCCCACAACCTTCGCCTCCTCCTCCTCCTCCTCCTCCTCCTCCTCCTCCTCCTCCTCCTCCTCCTCCTCCTCCTCCTCCTCCTCCTGGTCTCTCACTTTGTGGACTATGAACAGGTGGCGGTTGAGGGAACTGGCCGACGTGTAGCACAAGCCACAGAGGAGACACTGGGCTGTGGAGCTGTCCACCTGATGCTGAGGTATGTGGCTCTGGAACTCAGGCTCTGAGTCTGTGGCGAAGCTGCATTTTGCACACTGAAACAGGGACTTGTGCCTTTTGGTAGAGGGAACAGTCGTGCCATTGCTAGTGCCTGGAGCATCTGCCACTCTGCTGACCGGTCTTTTCAGATGGTTCACCTGAAAGAAAAGACAGTGTGGGCAGAGATGAGGCCGAGCCCTCGGTGTATTTACTGCTCACAGGGAGAGGGCGTATGGACTCATGCTGAGGTCAGAAGAGGGGTGGCTTTTCTCCCTCCACTCTGGGTCCTAAGGACAGCTCCAGTTTCTTGTTTTTGTTTTTTAATGTTTGTTAGATTTATTTATTCTCTTTCATGTGTGAGTGCTCTGCCTACATGTACACATGCGCACCACGTGCCTGAGCAGATCAGAAAAGATTATCCGGTTCCCGGAACTGCACTGTTAGCTGATTGTGAATTGCTGGGAATTAAACTTGGGTTCTCTGCCAGAGTGACAAAAATTAATGGTTTTTTTTTTTTGTTTTTTTTTTTTTGCTTTTGTGTTTGTTTTTTGAGGCAGGGTTTCTCTGTGTAACAGCCTTGGCTGTCCTGAAACTCACTTTGTAGACCAGGCTGGCCTCAAACTCACAGAGATTTGCCTGCCTCTGCCTCTCAAGAGCTGGAATTAAAAAGGCATGAACCACCACCACCTGGCCCAAAAAGTATTCTTAACTGCTCTCTACCATAATGTGGAAGAATCTGCAGTAGAGGGGCAATCAGGCTGTTCTAGAATCTCACCAGAAGTGGAAATGGAGCATGCAACAGGTGTGAGGGAAGAAAGCAAGGGGCTGGCAGACGGGTCTAGGCCTGACTCTTCCGACAGCTAAAGCAACAGTAAGGATCCTTCCCTGACAAGGTAGCTCTGCCTGCCTGCCTGCCTCACAGGAGCTGAAGGAAGCAGAAGTAAGATTACAGCAACAAACATCTGATGGGCAGGTTTTCCCATGGGTCTTTGTTCCTATCTCCTAAGTATGTCCAGTGCCCTAATGGGACACAAGCAAATAGTGACCACATTTAGACGTCACTCTGCTTGTTCCATGACCACAGCTAACGGCCCCTGAAGCCCCTCTCTGAAGCCTTTCTGTCCAGTCCCAGGTCTCATTGAGCAGCCAGTTCAAGGCAGCAATCCCACACTCACCTGAGGGGAATGTCCACCTGGATGTCGGATTTTGGACGTCTGGCTCAAATCAGGGTTTCTGATACCATGCATAAGGCTGATGTGGCTCTCCAGGAGGGAGGGCCGAGGAAAGCTGGGGCTATCCTCGGTGCAGTACCTGCAAGAGCACAGATAAGGAGGTGGGGAAACCTCAGGTTCCCCGTATTCCTCACAAATGTGGGAGGAAAGCTATGTGAGCAGGTAGACTTGCTAACAACCAGCAAGAGGCTAAGGGAGCAGACAACAGCAGTTCAGAAGGCTTGCATACTTGACACTGAGCCCTCATCCCAAGGCCATCCAGAGGGCCCAGTGCAAGACCAGTGGTCAGTAATAAAGGCTAGAGCCTACCAGTCACATCACCATCTCTACTCTCAAATACTTGGTCCCACTGAGAAAATCCAGGGCTAAAGAGTGAGAGGAAAGGCTGCCAGGCCTTGGATGCTGCTTCCTAACTGTTACAGGACATTTTGACAGCACTGTGACACTCCCAAGACTGTTAATAAAGTCAATCTTGAATTAGTGGGCAGAGTCGATGACTAGCTGACCAGAATAAGCCATAGAGATTTTGGAAGACCCATGATATGACAGAGAGGCACAGTAAGGGATAGGGAGGGGCTCAGAAAGATTTTGCAGGCATTTTGAATCTAGGAATCATGGAGAGAGGGTAGAGCTTGTCATTCCTTTGCTGTTTTCTTGATCTATCAGGGTTTTATTCCAATATCTGACTCATGTGTTTTTTATTTTTTATTTTATTTTTTTTTTTTTTTTTGGTTTTTCGAGACAGGGTTTCTCTGTGGCTTTGGAGGCTGTCCTGGAACTCACTTGGTAGTCCAGGCTGGTCTCGAACTCACAGAGATCCGCCTGCCTCTGCCTCCCGAGTGCTGGGATTAAAGGCGTGCGCCACCAACGCCCGGCTTCATGTGTTTTTTATTAACAGGACAATTTAAATAAATGTTCCACTCTACTTGCCTGGTTTCTGATTTAGCCGGTGCTTTCCTGCTAGAAACTCATTAGTCTCTTGCTTTAGGCCCCTGATCTTACAGAACAGAAGAGCCCCAGCGGTACCACAGGCAAACTCTTTTGAATTTCAGGACTTTTCCCTCCCCTGCCAAGACTCACCCACAAGTGTAGACCTTCTTTACTGTGTCATGGTTGTTGCGTATGTGTTTGCGCAGGCTGCTAGGGGTGTGGAAGGACTGTTCACACTGCCGGCAGGGGTACCGCCTCAGAGTCTAAGGGAAGAGATTAAAAAGTCCCAAAGCATCAGAATCCTAAGTTCTGGGTGGGTCCTCTTCCTTTTAGTGATATGACCAGAAAGAGGATAGCCCCAAGACCTTAAGATCTATAGTACGGACCCTGCCCAAACTACCAGGAACCTGCGAAGGTTACGCACATTAGAGAATGCTTGCTTCACAGGACAGATGCCCAAGAATACCGGCGCTGCACTGTAGCCTGTGGCTGCACTCACCCGACCGTGGCTCTTTTTCATGTGGGACACATAGCTCTCTCGATCAGGAACCCATTCCTGGCACTCCTGGCAGGTCCAACCAGTGCTCCTCATCCGGGGCCTGGCTTCAGCCCTGCGGTGGGCTTCTGGCCGGCCCCAGCGACCAGCAGTCAGGGAGCTGCCTCTAGCAGCAACACTTGTGACTGGGGGCTCAGTGGGAGCTCGAGAGCCAGGGCGGCTAGAGGATGTGTCTGCTGAAGACTGCAGGCTGGACAGCTCATCCACGTTCCGGGGAACACCGTGGGTATTCTGGGGATGGAAAGATGCAGAGTCACACCCCTGGCCTGAGGCACGTCGTTGCCTGAAGCTTCCCCCCCTAGGCACCTCACCTTGACATGTTGCATTAATTCTGGCTTCTGCAGAAATAGGAGTGGGCACTCGGGGCACTTGAAGACACCCGCCTGTGTCTTGCTGACATTCTGGTAAAAATGCTGTTGAATGTGCCTCTTCTTATTGAAGACCATCTCACAGGAGCACTTATAAATTAGCCTGACAAAACAAGTCCTGGAGGTGTGAGGTAACCAGCGCTGCGCTGGCAGGATCAAACAGCCTCTCTCCCATCTCTGCTGTCTCTGAACCAGGGTGAAGTTTGGGGACACACTAGCCTGAGACAGTGTACATCTTTTCCTGCCCTGGGATGCCCTCAGGAGACTCCACACATCTTTCCATAGCCTCGGCTCCCCAGCCCTTCCTTATGCCACCCGTACAGCATCTAGGCCACCCTCTCTGCCCCACAGGACCTACTGATCTTGCAGCTGCACTCACTGGGAGGGTTTGTGGGGCTGGGTGGGGTGCTGGGTGGTACTGTGGTCCATCGTACTACTGGCAGTCTTGAAGGCCATGGGGCAGAATGCACATTTGTGGAAAACCTGGCAGTGTCGCTCCTGGATGTGGCTTTTCAGCAAGGCCAAAGTCAGGTGGATGACACCACAGTGAATGCACCTGGACAACAAAAGTAGGGGAGTGTCAGACCCAGGGGTGATGCTGAAGAGGGCTGGAAGGCCAAGAAGAGAGCTACCTCGGGGTCCTTGCCCCTCATCCCAGCCCACAGGCTGCAGCCTCTGCAAATACATCCTCACACCGTACTTGCTGCTATCTGCACAAGCCTAAGATCATGTCTGGTAGGGGAGGAAGGACAATCCTAAATCCTCTCCAAACTGGCCATCCTGCAAACCAAAAATCTGGAGCCCTCCTAAGAGAAGCTGACAGGAATGGAGAGGAATAAGAATGATTCAGTACTGACTCAAATGCTATCAACTGTAAGTGGGACAACTGCAGAAGTCCCAGGGGAATGTCAAAGATAGAAAGCCTTTGCTTCCCCAGTACTACCACTAACAAGTCAGGGATGGCTCCCTGCAGACAGGAATATGATGCTCATTGCAGGGACCACTGTTCAAACAATCAACCCCCAAGAGAACAGGAAGTACTCTAGGGCATCGCTGTGCTGGGATTACTGCAAGCAGGAACTGTTCTGTAGTTGTAATACAATGTGGCTGTTAAATTTAAATGAATGAAATTACATTACAAATTCAGTTCCAGGCCAGCAAGATGGTTATGCATGCATAGGTCCTTACCTATGCATAGTTCCATTCCCAGAATCCAAATGGCAGGAAACTACCAACTCCTGTAAGTTGTCCTCAGGCACGCACACACACACAAAGTAAAATCAACTTTTGGCACATATAAGTGCTTCCATCCCATAACATTTTAAAAAAGAAGACAATTTTATAATTATATGCTGTGAAACATGTAAAGTTTTAAAAGAAATAAGTGTATAATATTTAACGTCCATTATCAGCAATAAGAAAACAATATACTGGTGTTGGAGAGATGGCTCAGAGGTTAAGAGCACTGACTGCTCTTCCAGAGGTCCTGAGTTCAATTCCCAGCAACCACATGGTGGCTCACAACCATCTACAATTCAATCTGGTGCCCTCTTCTGGCGTGTACACAGAATACTGTATATGTAATAAATAAATAAATCTTTAAAAAAAAGAAAACAATATACTATTTAAAATAGTGTAATCGTGCTTTCTTATGACATCATTGGCCACATTCCAAATTACTTAAAAAGGATAGATTAAGTTTTAAAATTCTATAATATTTGTGGGTAAGAGGGCAGAAACAATGTAAGACAGCTAGAGATGGCTCAGCAGTTAAAAGCGCTGGCTGCTCTTCCAGAGGACTGGGTTTGATTCCTAGTACCACATGGTGACTCACAACCATCTCTAACCCTGGATCCAGAGGCTTTGACACCCTGTTTTGGTCTCTGTGAATACTAGGCATCCACATGGTTCATAGATAAACACCCATAATAAAAAAAAGTAATTTAAAAAATAGTAAACTAAATTTAAAAAGATAACCTAAGAGTCAAAAGATAGGAAAAAGGGCTGGGAAATGCCATCTTCTGAACAAGACACAGCCACTGCATCAGGAACTCACAGCAACAGGCGTAAGAATGGGCTCCTCAGGCCGTGGTAGTGGTGTACACTTTTAATCTCAGCAAGGCAGAAGCAGAGGCAAGCGGATCTCTGTGAATTTGAGGCCAGCCTAGTCTACAGGGTGAGTTCCAGGACAGCCAGGGCTACACAGAGAAACCCTGTCTCAAAACCCAAAATAAAAAGGGAAAAAATAAAGGAATCGGCTCCTCTATAGGTATGGAGGGAGCAGAAGTTGGGGGGAGGGGAGCACTTATCACTCACTGCTAAATTATTTGTTATTGAGAAATTCAGGGAGAGGGGAAGTCATTGCCTTCAGTTGGGTATTGATGATTCCAACAGGATCAATGGATAGTTCTAGTTCAATGCTCACACAGACAACCCTGATTAAACTAAATACTAAGTCATATGAATCTGGAAAAGAGACTGGTAGGGATGGAGGATAGATAGAGGCTGATATGGAAGAAAAAGGAGAAATAGTCAAAATACATTATATACACATATGAAATTGTCAAAATAAAACTAACCAAAACTTTAATCTTCTAAAACATATAAATGTACACATATATTTTACAGGAAATGCATACAAATTATAACACACACACATATATATACACAATGTACAAGCTTTTTTAGCATTGTCCTAAAAAAGAAAAGCAGAAAGAATACAAAATATAAATTACGGTAACATTCAGTAAAATGGAACAGTTACCCTTTTAGAAATTATTAAATAGCATTAGTAACAGAATGGGAAGAAATATTTGCAATTCATACATTTAACAAGGAACTCGGCAACAAATGTTGGCAAAGACAAAAACATAAACAAAAACTTCATACCCTGCTGGTAGGAATTTAAAGAGGTACAGCAGTCTGCCAGTGCCTCAGAAAGCTAACCATAGAACTTAATTTGGTATTCCTAGTTACTCCTATGTGTTCACTCAAAAGAAAGGAAGCAGGAGGTGTGTGGCTCACTTCTGCAATCCCAGCACACAGGAGGCCAAGGCAGTCCAATTTCAGCTACATAGGGAAACCCTGTTTCAAAATAAACAAAAACTGCTGGGCACAGTGGCACACACCTTTAATCCCAAGCACTCAGGATGCAGAGGCAAGAGGATCTTTGGGAGTTCGAGGCCAGCCTGGCCTACAGAGTGAGTTCCAGGACAGCCAGGGCTACTCAGAGTGACTCGATCTGGAAAAAACCAACCAATCAAACATCACAGTAAATAAATCCGTAAATAATAAAGGGGATTCGAGAGATGGCTCAGAGGTCAAGAGCACTAGCTGCTTTTCCAGGTCTCAAGTTCAGTCAGTTCCTAGCACCCACATTAGTACCCAAGGCGGTTCCCAACCACCTGTAACTCCAGCCCCAAGGGATTCATGTTCTCTTCTGGCATCTGCACATCTCTGGCATACATAGACACACACATAAAAATAAATCCTTTTGTAAAAAGATAATAGTTGAGGAACCTAAGTACCCCCTCACACACTCTTGTCCCCCAAAACAGTGTTTCTCTGTATAACAGTCCTTGCCGTCCTGGAACTGACTTTGTAGACCACGCTGGCCTTTGTAGTCAAAGCTGGTCTTAAATCACAGAGATCCACCTGCCTCTGCCTCCCAAGTGTTGTGATTAAAGATGTGTACCACTGCCCAGTCTTAAATAAACCCTTTATTGGCATGTCTTCTGAGTTCAACACTAGTCTCTTGAACATTTTAATGTCACTCTTCTCAGAACAATGTTTTATATGGCATTCCTTATAAAAAGGCTTGACAACCTAATTGCTTTTAACAATTCTATCTTTTTATTCTTAAGTAAAAAAAAGCCAGGCAGAGGTGGCACACACATTTAGTCCCAGCACTTGGGAGGCAGAGGCAGGTGGATCTCTGTGAGTTTGAGACCAGCCTGGTCTACAAGAGCTAGTTCCAGGACAGCCTCCAAAACAATACAGAGAAACCCTGTCTCGAAAAACAAAAAACCAAACCAAAAAAATTGTAAAATAAATATTTAATTAAAGTTTACCAGGGATCTTAGTGCTAAGAAACAGAAGGCAGAAAGAATATGAAGTGTGAAGCTGTGAACCAACCTGCATAATTGGGAATGTCTAGAACTAAAAAGTCAAAGATGGAGACGGAGAAGCATCTCCGTGGTAGAGCACTTGCCTAGCACTTGAAGCCCTGGGTTCAAGCCCTACAATTTAGGAGAGAAGAGATTAGAATATAAGTATCTTGGTGCTGGGTGTGTTGCACATGCCTCAGTCCCAGCACTTGGGAGGCAGAGGCAGATCTCTTTGAATTCAAGGTCAGCCTGGTCTGCATAGCAAGTTCCAGTCAGGGCCATATAATAAGACCCTGTCTCAAAACAAGATAAAAGAAAAACCTAAATATTTTGGTGTTGAATGAATTGCTATTAGATTGGATTTGATCTCAGAATTAGCTGCATAAACTCAAGTTAAAGTTTAAAAGGTACTGGGAACTTTTATTTTGTTTCACTCTAGAAAAAGGATTTTATTTTTAATGATAGGTCTGTGTCTAAGTATGAGTATATGCATGTGAGGTCAATGTCTAGAAATCAGAAGAGGGACTCAGATCTCCTGGAGTTATGGGTGGTTGTGAGCAGCTCAGTGTGGGTGCTGGGAACAAACTCAGGTCCTCTACAAGCGCAGTATGTGCTCTTAACTGAGGAGCTGCCGTTCCCAGCACCCACATAGTAGGAGTGAACTGATCACAAGCTGTTCTCTGACCTGCACAAGCACACTGGCATGTAACATCTCCTACAAACAAACAAATCAAGAGTGGATGGATGAATGAACAAATATAACTTTTACCCAAAATTCTGAGAAGCCAGACCACACGCTTGACATAAGCCTTTCTCAGCTCTTCACTAACCAGGCTAAAGTCCTCTTTGTCAATGAACACAGGTGTTGCCTAGCCTGGCCCTGCCACCTCCCCACCTCTGCCTGGCTTGTTTTACTTTTTTTATGTTTGCTAGTCTCCCTATCTCTACCTCTTTGCCATATATACTCTCCCTCACCCTTCTGCTTGAAAACCCCCTAAAATCCCTGTGGTGGTTTGTTTGAGTGAGAGTGGCCACCAGAGGTTGTTTGAATGTTTGCTCTCCAGTTACTCGAACTGTTTGGGAAGGATTAGGAGATGTGGACTTGTTGGAGAAGATATGGCCTTGTTAGATATGTGTCACTAGGAGTGAGCTTTGAGTTTTTAAAAGCCCATGCCAGGTCAGGTGATGGTGACACACCTTTAAAATCCCAGCACTCGGGAGGCTGAGGCAGGGGAATCTCTGTGAGCTCATGGCAAGTCTGGTCCACAAAGTGAGTTCCAAGACAGACAAGGCTACACAGAGAAACCCTGTCTCAAAAACCAAACAAACAAAACAAAACAAAAAAGCCACGCTGTTTCTGCCTACAATTTGCAGATATGAGCTCTCACTACTGATTCAGTTGCTAAGTCAGCCTGCCACCATACTCCCTGCCATGATGGTTCACCCCAGAAACTGTAAGAAAGGTCCCAATTAAATGCTTCTTCTATGAATTGCCTTAGTCATGGTGCTTCATCATAGCAACAGAACAGTAACTAGGACAATCCCCTTTCAGAAACTTTCCTGACCATTCATTCCATTCTGAGTTATAGTTTGTGTATGTGTGTGGGGGTGCCTACGTGCATCTATGTGTATGCCTCATGTATGCATGCCCACAAAGCCAAAACTTAAGTTACAGGCAGTTGTAATGTGAATACAGGGAACAGAGTGCAGTTCCTCTGTAGAAGCAGTAAGTGCTCTTAACCACTGAGCCATCTTTCTAGCCCCAAGTCCTGAACACTTTTTTTCCCCCTGAAATAGGGTTTCCCTATGCATCCCTGGCTGTCCTGTAACTCACTCAGGCTGTCCTTGAACTCACAGAGGTATGCCTGGTCTGCCTCCCCAATGTGCCATCACTGCCCAGCTTTAAACCTTTTTTTGAAATAAGGTTTATTTATTTTTATTTTATATGAATGGGGGAGTTGTTTGTGTATATGACTATGCACCATGTGTAGCCAGTGCTTGTGAAAACATAAGATGCCCTCGGAATACAGGTACAAAGAGCTGTTAGCTGCCATGTGGGTGTAGTAACTGAACCCAGATCCTCTGAAGACCTGGCAGAGGGCTTAACCACTACCCCATTCCTCCAGCTCCTGGCTTATGCTGTTACCTCATCAGACAGGAGGCTATCATCACATGCCTCCATGCTCCACTAACTATATACACTTTTAAAAACCAAACTGACAAGCTGGGCATGAGAGTGCCACTTGTAACCCTAGCATTTTGGAGGCTAGGGCAAGGTGGTTGTCAATTTGAAACTAGCTCATGTAACACATAAAGGCCCAGGTCAACATGAACTATATACAGAGATCCTGTCTCAAAAAAACCAAGAAAACAAAACAAAACAAAGAAAATGCCAGCTGTGGCTGTTACACATGTACACAGTATACATGCATATGTATGTATGTGTATATATATGTGAGTGCATGTATGTGCACACATACTCAGGAAGCAAAGGAAAGAGGGATGCGATTTTAGGTCAACCAGACATACAGAATAAGTCAGGCAAAAAGAAAAAACACACACACACACACACATACATACATACACCTATCTCTGTGGGCGCACACATATGTACAGTTGTGTGTAGTAACATGAGGTTGATATCGAATCTCTTCCTCCCTCATTCTTCACTTTATTGTATTTTTTTAAAGATTTAAATACAACATCTTGCCTCCATGCATGTCTGCACACCAGGAGAGGGCACCAGATCTCATTATGGATGGTTGTGAGCCACCATGTGGTTGCTGGGAATTGAACTCAGGACCTCTGGAAGAGCAGTCAGTGCTCTTAACCTCTGAGCCATCTCTCCAGCCCTCTTTACTTTATATTTTTGAGGCAGGGCCTTTCACTGAACCCAAAGTGTGACAATCCCACTACTGTCCTTGCTAGGATGCCTGCCTGTCCTGGGATTCGCTGTCCCTGCTTCCTGAATGCTGGAATTCCTGCCTGGCTTTTGTGCAAGTTCTAGGGATCCAGACTCTAGTCTTCATGCTTGCATGGCAAGTATTTTGATACTGGACCATTATAGAGAGAAGCCTTTTCCTTGCCAGCCGCTTTGGCTTTTCCATGTCAGTCACCTGGGCTCTGCCGCGTTGCAGTCCCCAAATAACACACAAGACGCTGTATTAATTATGAAGTTGTTGGCCTTGCTTGTTTCTTCCTGGCTAGCTCTGACTTAAGTATTTACCCCATAATTGTTAATCTAAGTATTTCTCTTACCGGAAAAAAGTTCCGGACATCTTACTTCTCTGGCGGGCTACATCGTGACTCCCTGTGTTTCTCTTACCCATAGTCCTCCTGGACTCCTAGTCCCACCTATCTTGCTTCCCTATTGGCCAACAGTGCTTTATTGACATTTACACAGGACTTCCCCAACAGACCATCACTCCAGCCATGTTTTTTTATTTCAAGAAATGGTCTCCTGGGCTGTTGGCTAGCCTTGAATTTGCTGAGTATCCAAGGGTTACTATGAGCACTTGATCCCCCTACCTTTACCTCCCAAATTCCAGAATTACAAGAGTGTGCCACTGCACCTGGTTTAATGCTTAACTTTTTAATAATTCATTTCGCTCTCTTGTCCTGCCTTCCCTCTATAAAACAAAATGTCTATCCACCCACCAGTCAACATTGCTTTTGTTTGTTTTTTGAGGCAGGGTCTCAGGTAGCCCAGGCTAGCCTTGAACTCCTGATCTTCCTGGGATAACAGGTGTGTGCTATCACTCCCAGTTTGTTTTTGTTTGTTTATTTGGTTTTTTGTTTGTTTGGTTGGTTGGTTTTTGATTTTTTGAGACAGGGTTTCTCTGTATTGTTTTGGAAGCTGTCCTGGAACTCACTCTGTGGACCAGGCTGGCCTCAAGCTCACAGAGATCTGCCTGCCTCTGCCTCCCAAGTACTGAGATTAAAGGTGTGTACCACCAACACCTGGCTATGCCCAGTTTTTTTGTATGGTGCTAGGGATCAAATCCAGGTCTTCCAAGCATGCTAGGCAAGCACTCTACCAACTCAGCTACAACTCATGCCCACAAGCCAACATTGTGTGCGTGTGTGTCACAGGAGTGGTTTCTCTCCTTCTACTATGTCAGTAAAGTATATAAAACTCAGGTCATTAGATTCATCAGTGGGTAACCCTGAGTCATCTCACCAGCACCTCTTCCTCCTAATACACACCTTGGGTTCTTAAAACCAAATCTCAGTATGAAACAAATTTCAGCCTGGAAAAGGGACTTGCCACTGGGCAATACCAGGATACTGAGCCAAGGAGCACCCACCTGTAGCCCACTTTTCGAGCATAGTGCAGGCAATTCTCCTTTACATGTGTCTGGAAGTAGGCAGAGCGACAGAGGACACCACACTCCGGGCAGCAGTAGGGAGACTTGTGTGCATGAATCCGTTGGTGCGCACAGAAACTACATTGGTTTGGCAGCAGCATCTGGCATACCTGGCAAGTCTAGGAAAAAACACCAAGAAAGCAAATGACACAGGTGGGGTGGAGTGGGAAAACATACTGTCAACACCCAGACGGTTAATGCCTAGAATCCCAGAACTTGGGAGGTTGAGGTAGAAGGATTGCTACAAATTCCAGAACAGCTGTGGTTACATACTGAGTGATACCCTGTTTCAACAAAACCAAAACCAAAAATAACAAGAAAAAGAAAGAAAATAGACCAATGTAACAGGTGATTTGTGTGTGGCCCAGGATAGGATATAGCTCAGACTCAGATCAGGGATAGCTCAGAGGTAGAAAGCTGGCCTTGCATGCTTGAATTTCTACATTAGAAGCCCTGCACTATAAAAACAAACAAACGAAACCAAACAAGCAAGCTAGCAAACAAGTAAGACAAATATGGTGGCATACATCTGTAGCCTTAGTTAGCAGTAGGAAGGAGGGTCATGAGTTTGAGGCCAGCCTGGGTTACTTAGGGAAACCATGTGTTTATTATAAATAAAAAGAAATAAAAAGCCCATTGTAAGACTTTTTAATGTAATTAGAAAAGCTTGAATGTAGATTTGTAGATTTGGGCAATATTAAAGAATGTTATTAATTTCACTAGGTGTGATGACAGCATAGTTATCAAAGTTGTGTGGGACTCCCTCCTTCTAGAGTCCCTTGAGCAGTACAGAGCCTGGCACAGTGACCTAGGCTAGACTGGATGAAAAGAGCTCTCTGTTCTCTTCCTAGGTCTCTGCAGCCCTGTGTCCTGGCTGTTCTTCTGTCAATCTAACATGGCAAGACTTATCTGGGAAGAGGAGCCTCAGGCAAGAATATAGGGCATTAGGCCAGCCTGCTACAGAGCAAGTTCCAGGACAGTCCCCCAAAACAATACAGAGAAACCCTATCTCAAAAAAGCAAACAAACAAAAAAAGAATATAGAATAGAGCATTTTCTTAATGATAGACATAGCAAGTCCCAGACAAGATAGACCAGGCTGGCCTCGAGTTCCAGAGATCCACCTGCCTCTGCCTCCCAGTGCTGGGACTAAAGATGTGTGTCACCACACCTAGCTTTTTTTTTTTTTTTTTTTTTTTTTTTTTGGTTTTTCGAGACAGGGTTTCTCTGTATTGTTTTGGAGCCTGTCCTGGAACTCACTCGGTAGACCAGACTGGTCTCGAGCTCACAGTGATCCGCCTGTCTCTGCCTCCCGAGTGCTGGGATTAAAGGTGTGCGCCATCAACGCCCGGCACCTAGCTTATTTTTTAAGATTTTATTTTTATACGTATGAATGTTCTGCCCACATGTACATATATGTATGTGTACAATGTGCAAGCCTGTGCCGTTGGAGGTTAGATAAGTATGTCGAATCCTCTGAATTGAAGTTATGGATGTTTGTGAGCCAACATGTAGGTGCCAGGTATCAAACCTGGGTCTTCTACAAGAGCGACAAATGCTCTTAATCATTGAGCCACTTCTCTACCCAGTGCTAAGGGAAGCACAGTAAAGAGGTTTATCATGAAAGGAACTCTAAAGGTGGAAAAGATGGTTCCATGGGTAAGAGCACTTGCTGTGCAAGCGTAAGGACGCCAGTTAAACAGACTCCTCAGGACCATGTAAAAATGCTGTGGATGGCTGTGCATGAATGTAACCCCAGTATTGAGGGGTAGAAAAAGGCAGATCCTGGAAGCTTGCTGGCCAGCCAACCTAAGCAAAATGGTGAGCCTCCAATTCAAAAATACCCTGTCTCAAGGAATTAAGAAGAAACCTTATATTCTTTGTAATCTACACACACACACACACACACACACACACACACACACACACACACACACACACACACACAGCCCAATCTGAAGGCCTTTCAAAAAGATAGAGTCTAACTACATAGCCCTCCTGTATCCAGCTCCAACACATTGGGATTATAACTATGTACAAACACAACTCAACGTTACATTCTTGACACAATCTGCTAGCAATATCAATGGCACTAAAGGTACAGCACCAAGTGCCTTTCAAAATGAACCACATACCTCACCAACTCTAACCGGAAATCAGGACAAGCAGAAAAGCTCAACTGCTTTTCTAGAGCTGGGAGAATATGGCTGACAGCTGGAGACTACAAAGTCTCTGCATGGGGCCTACGTGCCTACCCACTCTTCTTGTACTTCAGCCTTGCCTCTGGCCCGTCTCTGCTCAACAGCTCTGTCTACTGAGGGGTAGAAAGACTTAAAAGACATGGTTCTTGGAAACAGACTAAGACACAAAGCAGTGATTCACCCACCCCCATCCTCAGGTTCTTTGGGCATATGTCAAAACCATGCTGCCATCTGCTAGGGGCCAGAAAGAGACCACCCAAGCCAAGCCCTAAAAAGCTAAACAACTGCCAATTTGACTGGGAGTGGAACGTGGGTCATGTCCATAAAGACACTGTTTTGTTTTTATTTGTTGAGACACTGCCTCAAACTCTTGATCCTCCTGCCTTAGCCTTATAAGTACTGGAATTATAAGCATATGTCACCACCCCTAGCTACATAACTTGCTAGACATCTTCAGGCTTTCCCCAAAGGTATGGGTAGGATAGCTTTCCAAATAAAAACCAAGCACTATATATTCAGGTGAGACACTAACCACTAAGGCAGATGTCCTCTTCTAAGACTAAGATTTGTAGTGATATCTTGCTTGTACAAATAAAGCCTGTCTGAAATTCAGAGAATGGAGCTTGCCTCTAGCTAACCACAGAGGTCTGGAGGTCTGTGCAGACACACAGGAAGTGAGATGGCTGGGTGAAGAGAGGATATAAACTGGCAGAAACAGGAACTTGCTCTTGTCTGCTGAGATGCTAAGGAGGTAAGGTACGACAGTGGTTTGCTCCTTCTCGCTGATCTCAGCATTGTCCTCTATATCTGACTCCAGGTTTTTATTATGTAGACTAAGTAAGAACTCTTTTTACAGTTTGGCACCCAATGTGAGGCACAAACCCATAACTCTGAGATTAAGAGTCTCATGCTCTACCTACTGAGGTAGCCAGGCTTTTATCTCAGCATATCTTTATCCTCCCTTTCTACAAAGATTCTACCACTGCTCCAACATTAATGGGCTTTCTCCAGTCCTCATCATGTAACCTGTATGAGCCTGAGGGTCCAACATCCAACATAGTGATGATCTACCTACCAGCCCCTCAGTTTCCTCTGATGTCCTCTGGAAATGGGCAGCCAGGACCATATAGTCTCGCATCTGTTTGTGACATTCAGGACATTTGGTTCCATACCGGATGAGCCTTACTGGGTCTGGGTAAAGTGGCAAGGCTGGAATTACAGGGCTGGCATTGCCTGAAGTGGAGCTGGGTTTGGGGGAGGAAGAAGCAGCTGGGGTTGCTGGTGCCGTGGAGTTCACAGGAGCCGTTACAAACATCTGGTCCGCAGAGATAGGTTTCACAAGCAGCTGAGAGCACTGCATGACTAGTCCCTTGCTCTTGTGGTCACGGGCATGCCGCAGCAGGCTACACTTGTTGAAGAAGAGCAGCGTCTTGGAGCACAGAGTGCACAGCACCTCGATGTGGACACTCCGCCGGCTGTAGTGCTGGCTCAGGCTCTTCTCTAAGGCAAATGCGTCTCCACACTCCAGGCAGCAGTACCCACTGGCCGGCACATGGATTCTGCTGTCTACAGGTGGGCTGAGATTTGGCGCATAGAGGGGCACAGGGTTAGAGCTGTGGAGGACCTTGTTGAAGACCTCCACAATTAGAGGGGAGGCCTTTTTCACCTGGTGGACCAGGGGTACTGTCATTTGCGTGACCTGAGGCTGGCTCCGTCTCTGTGCTGAGGACTTGGCAGTCACAGATGCGGCAACACTGTGGGGGACCAGGTTCAAGTTGGCCAAGTGCACAGCTTTGGGCAGCAGACTGGCAGGGGCCAGGGTTGATGCCTGAAGTGCTGTACTCTGTTGCTTCTTGCTCGCCTGTGAGTTCAGGGCAGCTCCTTTTGGGGCCCGGGGCCCAGAGATGCGGCAGGGAGATGACGAGTCACTGGCCTTTACCATGCTCTCATCCCCTTTTCTGTCCCCCTGGGGGCTTCCTGAATTTATGCCTGCCTCAGAAAAGTGCTCTTCCACAGGCAGGGCTGCGCCCTCATCCCCTGGCACCTCACTTGGGGCCTCAGCAATGGTGCTCCCTAGCGGTGACTCAACAGGGGACTTACTTGGATCATCAGGGTCTGGCAGGATCCTTGTAACAGTCCGTTTGATTTCCCCTGATGATGTCTTAATTGTCTTGATTCTAACTTTGGGAATTGCTGGGGGGGAGCTGGCAGCCACAGAGGGGGACCCTTTGCTACTACTGTCACTGCAGATGCTCCGAGGGCTGTCTGATGGCTTGATACTTTTTCTAGTGGCCTCCAGAGGGCTCCGGGGACTCTTTGGTGACTTGGGCATTTTGGGGCTACTTTTAGAACCCTCTTTAGTGGGCCCTGAGGAATCCTTTGTGTGGCCAGGCTGATCCTCCTTGGTGACACTGGCCACCCTTTTGGCCTGTAGGGCCACCAAGGCTGCAACACAAGAGGAGAGTTTGGAATGGGCTGGCTTCAAACGCTGCCGAGGGGGGACAGAGGAGCAAGTACTAAGCTCTGGAGCAAGCTTCTTGGGTTCTCCAATACTGTTGTTAGAGTGACTATTGAATTCTAAAGCTTCCCCAAAGAACCTACTGGAATCCAGATCTTTGGGAGGCTCCAGTACCTTCGGCCCACCCCGCTCATGCTCCTGCTGGCTCTCTAAAGGCAAGGGTTCTGGTTTGGGTTCTTTCTTACAAAAGTGATCAAACATATGTAGCTCTGGGACCGGGAACTTACCCAGAGCTTCCAAGACTGGGCCCCCCACAGCCCCACACCCAGGAGGAGGTGGGAAATAACTATCAGAGTGCTTCGGCTTTATCCCAAACCCATTATCTTTGACAGGATCCTCAGGTTCTGGGCTAGAGATTGGGCTGAACTGATTGAAGGTGGGTAATGGCTCCGACTTGGAAGGCTCTAACTTGCTTGTAAAACTCCTAGCACTGTCTCCATTTATGAAAGTAGAGTCAAACTTCCCACAATGGTGGGAGTCTGGAGGCAGGTCTGAACCCCGAAATCCATTGTGTAGGAGACTAGGAGCAATGTGGTCTTTCTCTGCTTCGAATGACTCTTGGCGGCTGGTGTTCTTGACAATGACACTCACGGCCGGCACATCTGGGGCTGACCCTGAGTGAGACAAGGACACACTCTCATCCATACACATGCCTGAAGACTTCAAGGGACTCTCATTCTCTTCACTGGGTGTCTGAATGGCCTCCTTAGCATCAAGACTTGTGGGATCTGGGATGTCAAAGGCAGCCAGAAGGTCATCAAAATCAGGGGTTTTCATATCCCCCATGGCTGGATGCTGACAAGAGCTGTAAGAGAAACAAAGAACAGAATCAGTGACCACCAGGACCTCACTGACTGTCCCACATCATCTGTACTGAATATTCATCACTAGTAATACATGCAGCTGGCCAGCCTCTGCAGAACCCCACATTCTACAGGAGGAAATTGCATACCTAAGCTTCATGCTAAGAGGTTTCTAGCCTGCTGAAAGGTAGGGGAGGCTAAAAAGAGAAGCTTGTATATAATAGCAAGCTTGCCTGGAAAGTCTTGTCCTCAATATTTGAACATTTCTGGCTGGTTCCATGACTTTGTGACCAAAACAGAGGGAAGATGGCCTCCCATCCAGTTGAGCAACAGCCCCCCAGCATCCCATTACCTCTGCCATCATTACCTATATCTCCCTGGCATATGCTCACCCTCTGGGTAGCTCACATATTTCACACACACACACACACACATCAGGAACTAATGGTGCCAAGAGTCTTCTGCAACCACTGCCAGAATCTCTGGGGATCTTTGCAGTATGTGTATGTACTCATATTCATATATATTCTCTCTTCCCCCTTCCCTTCCTCTCTCCATGCTTTCTTCTCCTTCTGAATTTTGAAACAGGGACTCTCTATATATCCCTGGCTGTCCTGAAACTCACTCTGTAGACCAGGCTTTCCTCTAACTCACAGAGATGCACCTGCCTCTGCCTCTCAAATGGTGGAACCAAAGGTATGCGCTACCATGCCCTGCTGCTGCTGCTTATTCTTCTACTAAAATCTCTTTTTAATGTTTTTTAAAAATATATATGTGTTTTGCTCACATGTACATCTATGACCACATGTGAGCCTAGTGCCTGTGTAAGTAAGAAGGGGACATAGAATTCCATCATGGAGGGTTGTGAGCCACTTTGTGGGTGCTAGGAATCAACTGGAATTCTCTGCAAGAACAAGTGCTCTTAACAGCTGAGTTGTCTCTCCAGCCTTCTTAAAAGGAAAGACAATGAAATAAAAATAGAAAGTATCATAGAGCTATCAATGTCTGTAGTAATTTATCTTGAGGCTGAGGGAATGGATCCCTCCACCTGTGGTGCTAGCATCCACAGAAGGACTTTGTCAGTCTAATTCCAGCACCAAAAAAAGTGAGGAGGTGTGAACCAGGTAGGTGGAGAATACTTATAAGCCTAGCCCTTCGGAGGTGGAAGGAAGGCCATAAGTTCAAGGTCATCCTTTCTTGCACAGGAAATTGAAGGCCTACAACACCTAAGAATGGGGAACAGTAAAATATTTGACTATTATGTACTCCAAAAAGAAGGGTCAATAAACTACACAACAAAGAAAATTACTTGTTAATTTAAAAAAGACTAATACAGCCGGGCGGTGGTGGTGCATGCCTTTAATCCCAGCACTCGGGAGGCAGAGGCAGGTGGATCTCTGTAAGTTTGAGGCCAGGCTGGACCGACAGCCTCCAAAACAATACAGAGAAACCCTGTCTCGTAAAAACCAAAAAAAAAAAAAAGACTAATACAAAAGTATTATCACATCATGATAACAATGTAACAGTAAGTAGCTATTGGAGCTATGATGGAAAAGAAAACTGTTTAGGGTGATGAGATTACTATCAAATTATTTCTGTAAACACTTGTTACACTAATAAATTGTTTTTCTACATTTTAAAAGGAAAAAAAAATGAAAGGACAATTAGAACCACAAGAGAAGCAGATGGCAGGATGAAAGTGTTTCTCTTACCACTCCTTGATAGCAACAGGTTTGTAGGTTTGGTTTCTCACATCACAACCACCCATACCCCAAACCCTCAACAAAGCACAGCTCCCTGCCTAGGAGTTCTCACAGAAAGGCAAAGAGCATAATCTTTCCCATTGGGAAGATATCCAGTTATGGTGGACAATGACAAGGTAAAATACCAATTATTTAAACACCGGTGGGCAGAATGCCCCACTGGAGTAAGACTAAGGTTTTAAACAGAACAGATGTTTGTCTCCTGCACTAGGCGTTGGAGTCCATGTACAACAGGCAGATATGGGAATCCCAAAGTGCAGGGTAGCATATGAGGAAATGCCTTCAGGACTCTTGTTTCAAAGGCTCCCTCTCTCCCTTTCTTCCTGTCTTCCAGTGCCTAGGCGGAAGAAAACCGAAGGAAGGCACAACAGATTAGTCCCTCTGCAGTGCTGGGGAAAGAGGGGGAGTGATGATTGATAGGGAACGATTTGTGGGAGCTCAGTATCCTCCACCAAAAAAATGACAGGGGCCACGGGCGTTGGTGGCTCTTGCCTTTAACCCCAGCACTCAAGAGGCAGAGGCAAGCGGATCTCTGTGAGTTTAAGGCCAGCCTGGTCTACAGAGCGAGCTCAGGATAGGCTCCAAAGATACACACAAAAACTCTGTCTCAAAAAACAAAACAACACAAAATGATAGGGGCTTAATGAAGAGTTCAGAGTTCCAGAATAGCCAAGGCTACACAGGGAATCCCTTTCTCAAAAAACAAAAAACAAGAGGTTGGTGGGAGGGCTTGGGAGGAGGGGAGGAAGAGAGAGCTGGGATTGACATGTGAATCTATTTTTTTTATTTTATTTTTTTACCAGACAGGGTCTCTCTGTATCGTTTTGGAGGCTGTCGGTCCAGCCCGGCCTCGAACTCACAGACATCCGCCTGTCTCTGCCTCCTGAGTGCTGGGGTTAAAGGCGTGGTGGCAGAGGCAGGCGGATCTCTGTGAGTTCGAGGCCAGCCTGATCTACAGAGTTATTTCCAGGACAGCCTCCAAAGCCACAGAGAAACCCTGTCTCGAAAAACCAAAAAAAAAAAAAAGAGAGAGAGAGAAAGAGAACATGTAAGTCAGACAGTGGCCCCTCCTTCCGTCCAGTCCTGCTCCAGCACCGTCTCGTCTCATCCTGAGTAACCTCCAGCCTTTCCCGCAGCCTACAGTCTGCTGCATCTCACTGCCATGCTTCCGTGTAAGACTCTCTCATGCCAAGTCTGTCATGCACCCATAATCTCCTCTCCATTCCTCAAGCATTATGGCAATGCTCCTGCCTCAGACTCTCTCTGACTTACAAGTCCTTGCCCACTTGGTACATACCAATAATCCATAATTTAAGAGGCTGAGTTGGAGACCAGCCTGGGATACACAGAGACAAGATCAAAAGAAAATGAAGACAAGAACAAAGCTTCTTGTTCTAGGTCCCTGTGGGCTTACTTCCTTGTGACCTACAAATCGTTAATCTCCAGGCCTTTATTCTGCCTTACCTTTTTTCACAGCACTTACGATCACTAAACATATGTTACCATCCATTTCCTTATTTGTTTACAAACCCTATTATGTTTACTGGAAGGTGATCCACCATTAGAATTTCACAAGATCAGGGTTGGAGAGATGGCTTAGTGGTTGAGAGCATTAACTACTCTTTCAAAGGACCAGGGTTCAATTCCCAGCACCCACATGGCAGCTCAGGTGTCTGTAACTCTAAGATCTGACACCCTGACACAGATCAATGCATATAAAATAAAAATAAAAAGAATATCACAAGATCATTTGTTCAGAGCTGAAATTATTCAAGGACAGTCATAGATTCCCAAGTAAATATATTACCAGCCAAGTATTTGGCAAATATGCAACTTGGAGTCGGGTTAGAAACTAAACGCAAGTCACTATGCATACTGAACATACCTACCACCTACCTATAGCCCCAGCCCGACATTTTCATAAAGAAAGGCCTTAGGCGGTGATAGGCCTTGTAAGTAGGAAAGATCTATCTGAAGTTGCCCTTGTCTCTGATTCCTGGAGCCCTACAGAAACTGATTAAAGGCATGGTGGGGCATGCCTTTAGTGTGCTTGGGAGGCAGAGGCAGGAGGATCTCAATGACTTTGAGGCTGGCCTGATCTACAAAGTGAGTTCCAGAACAGCCAGGTCTGTTACACAGAGAAACCCTGTCTTGAAAAACAAAACAAAAACATACAAACAAACAACACCTGCTGAGCCTGGTATTGGTGGTGCACGCCTTTAATCCCAGCATTCGGGAGGCAGAGGCAGGCGGATCTCTGTGAGTTCGAAGTCAGCCTGGTCTACAAAGCAAGTTCCAGGACAGGCTCCAAAGCAATACAGAGAAACCTGTCTCGAAAACCAAAAAACCAAACAGAAACAAAAACAAAACAAAAAAACTACCTACTGGTCCAAGAATAAGGACATCTGTCTGAGCATGAGATCAATGAGAAGCCAGTGGAGATGAAAGCTAGTTTTAAGAACTAGGAGCTAGGGCCCAGGAGGAAGGCACAGGTTGATCCTGAATCATAAATGGATACAACTCTAGGAACACTAAATCCCACTAAATTATGTATTGTAAAGGTACTGCATGGTATGTGAGTTTTCCCACAATAAAACTGCTATGTAAAAAAAAAAAAATGGAATAGCCTGGGGCTGAAGAGATGTTCAGTGGTTAAGAGCACTGGCTGCTCTTCCAGAGGAACCAGGTTTGACTCCCATTTGACCCAGGCTAGCTAACACCTGTCTGTAACTCTAGTTCCAGGAGATATAATAACACTTTTTTTCTGGCCTCTGAGGGCACCAGACACACACAAGGTATACAGATGTACATATAAACAAAAACACCCATATACACATAAATTAAAAAAAAAGAAAACAAAATAGAAGCAGAAGGGGTAGGAATTATACAGACTAAAAAGTCTACTAAGAAGCAGAAACTAGGACTGGGCAACAAAGTCAAAGAGCTAGGGTTGTAGATAAAATCTGATACTTTGTAATCTACAGTTATTTTACCTTGCCTTACTTGCAAACAGATCTCAGCACTACCTGGGTACTCCATTTGTGAGAATAGAAGGCAGACACTTGAGAGAAAAGTAGACAGTAATCCTTGCTCACACACCATCTTAAAGAGTCTCTCCCACCGAACCTTGTAAACACATCATGTCTTGGTAGTAAGGACTCTTCAAAATTAAGCAAGAATCCAATAATCTCACACTTGCTGGCAACCAAACCTCCATTCTTGAGAGGAGATGACAGTCACTCCACAGGACCACTGGCCCCATCTCTGGTATCATTGTTTGGTTGTTCTGAAGCTGCTCCTTAACTCATCTCATCTACCAAAGCAAACAAGAGCCGCAAAGATTCACTAGCTGAAACACTGCTGGAACAGGAGGACGTACCACCAGCCCCAGGAAGCTCTGTGGTTGCCACAGGAGTAGACACTAGTGAAAGAAGGGGCCTTTCTCAGACATCCCAACATATGCACAGAGGTTCCTCAACCTCCAATGGGATTATGTCACAAAGAACCCATTCATTTTAAATTGAAAATGTAAATAAAAAATGTAAGCCTGGGGGTTGTGCCATGGGTGAAGACTGCCAAGTCTGACAACTTGAGTTTGATTCTCTGGACCTACATGGTGAAAAGAATCCACTCCCCAAAATTGTCCTCTTCTATACATACACACACAATGGCAAGTGCACACATACTAAATGATAAATCAGTGTTTTGTTTTGTTTTTTAATGTAACCCTGATGTGTAAGTGCATGTCTATATCCCCATCACTTGGGGGTGGAAGCAGTAAATACTCAGGAATTTAAGCCCAGTTTGGGCTACATGAGACACTGTCCCAAAAATAAACGGTTCAGAAGGTCTCATACAGCCAAAGAAGACCTTCTCCCAATCCTCCTGCTTCTTCCTCCTAAGGGCTAGGAGGGGTGGGGCTCTTGAGAGAAGACTAGGCCATAAGGAGTCAGCTCTCACAAATCGACAAATAAAGACAATAGTGTCTTACACACATGCCTACCAGTTCATCTTATACAACATGAAGGCCCTCAACAGAAATGTGGCCCTCGGACCTCAGACTGCCCAGCCTCCAGAACTATAAGACAAATAAACCACTGCTTATACATGACTCAGTCTGTGGTATTTCTCTTATAGCAACAGAAAACAGACGAAGTGACCGACCAAGCATCATAGATTAGCCACACAATACACTATACCATATGGGTGGTTCCTCCATGTGATCTCATGGCTAGCTGACCAGGAACTATGGCTCATTGCCACTGCCCAACTACAGCCAAGTTGAACGAGAATCCACATTAGAAGTGTGTCTCTACCAAATGCCTATCACTTCACACCACTGCCAGTCAAACCAGATGAGGAACTCAGGTACTCCCTTTCCCATCCTCCTCTAGTGCCTACGTCAAGTGCTATCAGCCATACATCTTTCCTCCTCTTCCCTGCCTCCCTCAGTCACCTCGCCTCTCTCCAGAGATCTAGATGGTCACTCACCATAACTGCTCAGCCCTAAGGGCAGTCAGCCTCTACTCTAATCTGCAGGAAAGTAACCCCAGCTAAGGCAGCCTCTCACCAACAACCAACCCATAATGCTCCAGAACCAACTTCCAGTCAACTGTATTTACCAGTGTGCCCACTGTAACGTTCCTGTTGAGCTAGGGAAGTAGTTCTCAACCTGTGGGTCCTGATCCCTTTCACAGGGGTCACTTATCAGATATTTACATTACAATCCATAACAACAGCAAAATTACAGTTATGAAGTAGCAATGAAAACAATTTTATGATTGGGTCATCACAACATGAGGGTAAAGGGTCACAGTATTAGAAGGTTGAGAACTACGGATCTAAGGGAATACCAGAGAATATGTCCAATGGCACATCATTATGTAGATCTCTACCATCTGACAAATGGAATGGGAAGGGTCCTTTTGTTAGTGGGATGTATACACACAAAACTGTGGTCCCAGCTACTCAGGAAGCTGAGACAGGAATATTACTTGACCCCAGGAGTTTGAAGTTAGCCTGGGTAAAATAGTGGAACCCTATTGCAAAAAAAAAAACAAGACAAAGCAAAAAAAAAAAAAAAAAAAAAAAACCAAAAAACAAAACCAACTCATCTTTTTGGGTTGTTTTTCTTTCTTTTTTTTTTTAAGATTTATTTATTTATTTATTTATTATGAATACAACACCCTGCCTCCATGTATGTCTGCACCCCAGAAGAGGGTACCAGATCTCATTATGGATGGTTGTAAGCCCACCATGTGGTTGCTGGGAATTGAACTCAGGACCTCTGGAAGAGCAGTCGGTGCTCTTAACCTCTGAGCCATCTCTCCAGCCCTGGGTTGTTTTTCTTATTTTTATTTTATATGCTTTAGTGTTTTACCTGCATGTATGTCTGTGTAAGGGTACCATATTCCCTGGAACTGGAGTTACAGACAGTTGTGAGTTACCAGGTGGGTGCTGGTAGTTGAACCTGTGTCCTCTAGAAGAACAGTCAGTGCTCTTAACCACCTCTCCAGTCTCTTCCCCGACCCCATTTTTCTGGATTTTTAAGACAGGGTTTCTCTGTGTATCCCTATCTGTCCTGGAACTTGCTTTGTAGACCAGGCTGTCCTCAAACTCACAGACATCCAGCTGCCTCTGCCTCCTGAGTGCTGGAATTAAAAGGCAAGCACCACCATGCCTGACTGCCCTTATCTTTCTTACTTTTGTTTTTTAAAGATTTATTTATTATATATACACACACCAGAAGAGGGTATCAGATTTCATTATAGATGGTTGTGAGCCACCACCTGGTTGCTGGGAATTGAACTTAGGACCTTTGGAAGAACAGTCAGTACTCCTAACCTCTGAGCCATCTCTCCAGCCCTTTCTTATTTTTTTAAAGACATATAGTACAACACTAACAAATATAATGATACATGGGATTTGCCTCAAAATAACAAAGAACAGGAGGAAAAGAACAAGGAGGGCACATAAATGAAATATGATGGGCCACGAACTTAACTGAGTGAAGTTTTTTTGTTTTTGTTTTTGGTCTTTTGTTTGTTTGTTTGTTTGTTTTGCTTGTCCTAGAACTAGCTCTAGCTCTACAGACCAGACTAGTCAGTTTTGTATTCACAGAGATCTGCCTGCCTCTGACTCCAGAGTGCTGGGATCAAAGGTGTGTACCACCCGGATTTGAGTCAAGTTTTTAATCAAATTTTTTCTACAACATTTATGCTTCAGGAAAATAGTCCCTTGCCTGGTGGACTCCATGGGTAAAACTAGATAAGCCCAGAAGTTACACCCATCAGGATAGATTATAATAATAATAATTAACAAACAGAATATAACAACTCTTGGTAAGAATGTGTGAAACTGGAAGCCTTGTGCATTGCTAGAAAGAATATAAAATGGCGCCAGGCGGTGGTGGCACATGCCTTTAATCCCAGCACTCGGGAGGCAGAGGCAGGCGGATCTCTGTGAGTTCGAGGCCAGGCTAGACCGATAAGCCTCCAAAACAATACAGAGAAACCCTGTCTCGTAAAAACCAAAAAAAAGAATATAAAATGGCATTACCGCTGGGGATGGTGATGCATGCCTTTCATCAGCTGCAGAGGCAGGATCTCTGAGTTTGAAGCCAGCCTGGTCTATGAAGGGAGTTGAAGGACAGCCAGGACTAGGCAGAAAAATCCTGCCCTGAAAAAAATCAAATAAACAAATAAATAAATAAATTTATATTGCCACTATGGAAAATTACTCAAAAATTTTTAAAAAGAACACCAAATGACCCAGGAGTCCATTTCTAGGTGTATGGGCCAAGCATGGGAATGCAGACCTTTAAAGTCAGTATTCAGGAGGCTGAAGCAGGAAAGTCAAGTTCAAGGCTAGCTTGTGCTACAGAGCAAGACCCTGCCTTAAAATAAACACATACACAACACGCACACTGCAAGGCCTCAAAATATTTATATACTCATTCATAGCAGCCACATTTACAATACCCAAAGGCAGGATAACCCAAGTATTTAAAAACTGAATGAGGGGCTGCAGAGATGGCTCAGAGGTTAAGAGCACTGACTACTCTTCCAGAGATCCTGAGTTCAATTCCCAGCAACCACATGGTGGCTTACAACCATCTACAATTCAATCTGGTGCCCTCTTCTGGTATGTAGGCAGAACACTGTATAAGTAATAAATAAATAAATCTTAAAAAAAAAACTGAATGAACAAATCAATAAAATACGTTACTCAGCCTGAAAAAGGATGGGGATTAGGGACATAGCTCAGCAGTAGAATGCTTGCCTAGCATACATAAAGTCTTGTATTCTATTCATATGGCTGAAGAAAGGAAAGGAGGGAAGGAGTGGGGGAAATGAGGAAATCTGGACACACTACAATACGAACAAATCTTAGAGACATTAGTGGTACAAGCCAGATACAGTAAGACAAATACTGAATGGTTCCATTTATATGACATCCCTAAAGCAGGCAAATCTGTAGACAGAAAGTAGAATGAAGGTTGCCAAGACTGTAGGGACACAGACAAGGAGTTGTTCCATGGAACAGAACTGGGTCATGAACTGTGGTGATGGCTGCATAGTTGCAAATATACTTAATACCACTATACATTTAAAATTAGGAGATTTGTTGTATTTAACCACCAAAATGAAACCCAACAAACAATAAAAGCTCTCTTGTGGCCAAACTCAACTCTTCAAGGTCAGCTCAGGTCAACCTAGACATCATACCTTAGTGAAGTTCTCAAAACAAGGGTGTGGTGAGCGCTGCTGGGGGAGTAGAGCTGTGGAGAAAGGAAAAACTACCTAGGCACATGGTCTAGAGTCCAATCACCACCTATGGAAAGAAGAAAAACAAAATGCCTTTTAAGTGGACTTAAAGATATGTCAAAGGAAAGAATTTAAGAAAACTAGAAACAACCACCCAGTTATAGGTACGCCCGTCCCCTGAAGAAAACCACACAATTCAAAGCTGGCCCTACAAAGGCGAAACTTCCAGCCTCAGACCCACTCCTCTCTCTACCTAGCCCAGCATGTGGGTTCAGAGCATAGACTCACCTTTAATCCCAGCACTCGGGAGGCAGAGGCAGGTGGATCTCTGTGAGTTCGAGGCCGGGCTGGACCGATAGCCTCCAGAACAATACAGAGAAACCCTGTCTCGTAAAAACCAAAAAAAAAAAAAAAAAAAAAAAAAACAGGAAGGGGGCCAGGCAATGGTGGCTCACACCTTTAATCCCACCACTTGAGAAGCAGAGGCAGGTGGATCTCTGTGAGTTCCAGGATAGCCAAAGCTAAACAGTGAAACCCGGTCTCAAAAAATCAAAAACAAACAAACAAAAACAGAAAAGGGACTGGAAAGTTGGTTCAGTGGTTGAGAGCACTGGCTGCTCTTCCAGAGGACACAGGTTTGGTCCCCAGCACCAGCATGGTGGCTTACAAATCATAACTGCCTGTAACTCCTGTTTCAGATCTGACACCCTCTGACCTCTACAGGAGCCAGGCACACAAATAGCACACACATCACACACACACAACACACAACACACAACACACACACACACACACATCACACACATCACACACACATCACACACATAAAATGAAATGTAAAAGCCTAAATAAATAAATAGTAATAGCTGGGCAGTAGTGGCACACACCTTTATGCCAGCACTCAGGAGGCAGATCTTTGTTTATGAACAGCCTGGTCTATAGAGCGAGTTCCAGGGCAGCCAGGGCTACACACAGAGAAAGCCTGTCTCAAAAAGAAAGGAAGAAAAGAAGAAAGGAAGGAAGGAAGGAAGGAAGGAAGGAAGGAAGGAAGGAAGGAAGGAAGGAAGGAAGGAAGGAAGGAAAAGGGAAAAAGTCATATATGATAAGGCACACTTGTCACCCAAGCACTTGAGGCAGAGAAAGGAGAATCAGGAGTTCAAGGCCAGCCTGGGCTATATGAAACTCTGGTTAAAAGAAAAGAATAAGCCAGGTGTTGGTGGCGCACACCTTTAATCCAAGCACTCGAGAGGCACAGGCAGGCAGATCTCTGGGAGTTCCAGGCCAGCCTAGTCTACAGAGTGAGTTCCAGGACAGCCTCCAAAATAATACAGGGAAACCCTGTCTCAAAAACAAAACAAAACAAAACAAAAACAACTTTTAAAAAAATTAAAAACAAAAAGTCTTGTTTTGGGGTACAAAATGTTCTGCCATTGGCCTCGTGATCAATGGAGATGGGTGTTGAACGTCATTTAAAAAAAAAAAAGCCTGCCTTTTCTAGGCTCTCATTTCCCAAGTGCTATTACAATACAAGTTGACAACTCCATACTGTGGAGTTCAACTTTATTTATTTACTGTTGGTTTTTTTGTTTGTTTGTTTCCAATACAGGGTTTCTCTGTGGCTTTGGAACCAGTCCTGGCACTCACTCGGTAGACCAGGCTGGCCTTGAACTCACAGAGATCCACCTGCCTCTGCCTCCTGAGTGCTGAGATTAAAGGTGAGTGCCAGCATAGTCAAGGTGGAGTTCAACTTTTTAAACAAAAGGAAACCCATTACTAGAGAAAATTAAGGAGAAGAAATTAATGGAAGAAATGCAGTGCTCCTTTCCTTTCTTTCATGCATACCAAGCCATAAGCAAATTCTCCCCAGGAGAGCTGATTGGCTGGGTTGGGATTTTCCCTGTCTCCCAGAGCCTGTGCCTCAGGGGGAGGTTTAGGGTACTTGCTGTTGCCCTCCTTTGGTCTATTACCCTTCGGTGAGCTTGCCCCATTTTTGTTTTCTAGGATCAAAAAGCTTATTTTATTTGCATATGTTCATGTTCAGCTTGTGAGGCACCCTTAAACTTCTTTACATTTCAGATTGTTAGCCAGGCGTGGTGGTGCTTGCCTTTAGTCTAGCAATGGGGCGGTGGAGGCTGGTAGATCTTTGAGCTCAAAGCCAGCCTGGTCTATAAGCAAGTTCCAGGACAGTCAGGGCCACACAGAGAAACCCTGTCTGGTGGAAAAAGAAGCTTCAATTGTTTTCTTCTATACATATACATTGAGATCTATTTTTAAACTATATTTATGTTACTTTATGTATATGAGTATTTTGTCTGCATATGTCTGTTGTCCTTAGAGGACAACAACAAATTCGATCCCCTGGGACTGAGTTATAGACAGTTACGAGTTGACATGTGGGTGCTAGGAATTGAACCCTGGTCCTTTGGAAGAGCAGTCAGTACTTTTAACTGCTGAACTATCCCTCCAGACTGAGGCCTGTTTTTTAAAAACAATGTTTGATTGTGATAATCATTAGGACAGCTTGTATAAAACTTACTTGACACCAAAGAACTACCTGTAAACTGGCTGTAATCTTTCAGATATCCCGTTAGCTTTCCTGAAAGGGTTAAGAACTTGAATTACTACCAAATTTAATTATATTTTCTTTTCTTGGTTTTCGAGACAGGGTTTCTCTGTATTGTTTGGGAGGCTACATTGTTTTGGAGATCCGCCTGCCTCTGCCTTCTGAGTGCTGGGATTAAAGGTGTGCGCCACCAACGCCCGGCCATATTTTCTTATTAAAAGGTTTTGTTGTTCCTGTTGGTTTTTTGTTTTATTTTTAATAAAATATGTCTTTCTAGAGGGGTAAAGGGGGGGGGAGTTCATTTTTTTCTGCTTTTCTTTTTCTGTTTTCTTCCTGGCTAACCTGGAACTAGCTATATAGACAGACTGGCCTCAAACTCATAGAGATCCTCCTGTCCCTGCCTCTCAAGTGCCACTATACCTGGCTATTTCTTTAATATTTAATTAAACTCCTCGGCCCTTTCTCACTCCAATCATGCATTTCCCAGCCTGACTTTCATCTTTAATTTTGACAGGTCAGCGTTTATTTTATATTCTAAGTGAAGATACAGATAACATTAACGGAAATGTTGAAGGGCACCAGGTACCCCAATTCTGCAGAAAGGACATAAACTAACAAAAACTGCTGTAACATCAAAATCAGGACAAAAGTCAGAGGTTGAGAGCTGAAGAGGTAAGGGCAGGTATTAGGCCTACTGTCCAGTGTGAGTAAGTTCTGAATGTACCCAGTTATCCACTCCAAGATAATCTTGGTGCTTCCAGTCATGTGGCTCTGGTCTATTAACCAGAATCAGTGGTGTGCAATAAACAGTCTGGCTGCAGAAAGAGGCTAACACACCTGAGGCTTTACTGACCCAGGCTGGCTGTTTCTCCCAAGCCATTGAAATCACAGACCTTGGGTTTGATGTAAGAACTTTACCATTTATAACACATTACTCTCACCTCATGAGAAACTTGGCAGTAGGTGAGCCACAACTAGCACTCAAAGGAGACTCAGGCTTCTGCCTACTTCCAAAGACCAAGATGCCCTTGTACTAAGAGCTCTGAAGCTTCTAGTCAGTTTCCCATTTCTCAGCATGCTCATCTTCCAGGATCTACTGGACATGACACAAAGTTTCCTTCAATTTGGTATTGAGACATTCACTGTAGCTCTTGTCATAATTATAACACACCTTACTGTGTTGTAAGACCAGAATTAAAAAACATTGTTTTAGAATATTTTCCTAGATTAGAGGGTTTTCGTTTTTTCAACATCAGAAACATAAAAGCCTGTCAGAGCCAAGGAGATTCCAGGAACCCATTAAATTTAAGTCGCTCTACAAATAAAGAAACAGAGGCCCAGAGAAGCGAGGCAATCAGATCAGCAAAAGTACACAAACTGAAGAGAATTTTTGTTGCCTGCAATGTTCCCAGCATCCCTGGCAAGACCACAAGTCTCTGACTATGACCTTCTCATCACAGGAGTTAACCCCTGAATCTCATCCAGTGCTGGGGAAAGCTTATTTAACCCTTAATCTGTGATTCTCAACCTGGATGAACACTGGAAACACCTGGGGAGGAAGTAGACCTAACACAACACCTGACCCCAGGGGGGACCTCTGCATTCATACCTTCCCTGTCTCCTTAACTCTCTGGCCTGCAGGGATTTTCGATTTGTTTCTTTCCGCAATGCTGATCACTCTTCCTTCAGACACTTGCACAGCCAGTTCTCACCATCAGATCTCTACAAAGTTCTTTTTTAATCAATGAGATTTCTCTGATTTCCTTATATTTTACTTTGAGATAGTTTTTCTTTAATCGCCCAAGCTGGTCTCCATTTCTCCTGCCTCAGTCTCCTAAGTGCTAGCTCCGATTTCTCATTCATTCGTCACCTATCCACCCACCCATCCATTGTGTGTGTGTGTGTGTGTGTGTGTGTGTGTGTGTGTGTGTTTGTGTACATGCACGAAGTGAGAGAAGCTGGGGGAGAGAGACACACACAGTATGTAAGTGGAGGTCTAAGGCGAACTCCCAGGAGTCAGCTCTCTCCTTCTATCATGTGGATCCCAGGGATGGAACTGGGGTCAAGAGGCTTTTCCATGAGCTCTTTTACCCGCTGAGCCATCTCACCAACCAGAAGCCCAAGGACTGGAGAGATGATTCAGTGATTAAGAGCACTGTCTCCTCTTCCTAGGTTCAATTCCAAGCACCAACATGATACCTCACACTTGTCTGTAACTGCAGTTCCAGGAGATCCAATCCCCTCCTCAGGCCACCAGGCTTGTATATAGTGCCTGAACATACACACTGGCAAAACACCCTACCATAAAATTATAAAGATTTTAGAAATAAAAGAAACCCAGAACTTGTAGCTCAGTAGTATGGACTTTGCCTGGTATTTTGGAGACCAATACCCAGTATCAAAGAGAGAAAGAAATCTCTAACTCACCACACCTACTTTTTCTTTATGTACTTCTCACCATCTCTCATATTTAGTACCTTCCTGCTTATTGACTACAAGCCCCC